CAAAAGCAATGGTCAGGGGTAAGTTCAGAATTATACACTCCATCCACTGTTCAGATCTGAATTCAAAATAGTGTGCCAAAGACTTCCTTTACTCTGTTTACTTTTTAAGAATACTTTCATTCTGTGGACAATGATGTGTGTTATTTAAATATAAAAATCTGCATTGTTTAGATAGCCATATTGGCATTTTCAACATTCAGGGATGTCTGATACAAACATGGAGCTCATGTTCAGACCATCAATTTGCCAAATATGTACTGGGACTCCTAAACCCATTCTCCCATAAAACCTGGTCTCTACCAAGGTTAACATGGCATTGAAAATTTACAGTTGAGTAATGTATCTCTAAGGGTCAAAGTCAAATAAAAGAAGTCCAAGACATGTGTATTTACATACCCTTATCGTGAAAAGCATTTTACCTAATAGATACATAGGAAAAAAAACAACAACTAAGCATTTTCTTTCTTAAGAGAAGTAATTCTCCCTTGATCCCTTGCCTATAAGCTAAAAAACAAAAAACTCACTTCGCACAATCTCTTTTTCTTTTTAAGATTTTATTTATTTATTTAGAGCACGAGCACAAGCAGGGGGGAGGAGCAGAGAAAGAGAGAGACGAGCAGACTCCACGCTGAGCCCAAGCCCGACATGAGGTTGGATCCTGCGACCCTGAGTTCATGACCTGAGCTGAAACCAAGAGTCAGAAGCTCAACCGACTGAGCTACCCAAGTGCCCCTACACAGCCCCTTATTCAAACTATAGCTCCAGCTCTCTCCTTTCCCTTTTCTACCAATTTTATTTTTATTTTTATTAAGATTTTATTTATTTTGGGAGGAGAGGGAGAGAGATATTCAAGCAGACTCCAGCTCAGCATCCGGGCCCTATGACGGGCTGGATCTCTCCACCCTGAGATCATGACCTGAGCCAACAAAACCAAGAGTCCCATGCTCAGCTGACTGCACCACCCAGGTGTCCTTCTTTTCTACCAATTTTACAAAAAAGTCATTTATAGTTGCATTGTTTTCCTCATCTGTTCCATAAATAAACCTACTCTAACCTGGCTTTTAGACCAAGTATCTCTTTTAAAGATAACTACTACCGCCTTCCTGTTCTAGGTTTAAAATTTCAGGAAATTCACATAAGTGGAAATACACTGATAAACACGTCAATGCAAGATAAAGCATGTAATTAAGATTGGCACGTGAATACTCTAGTACTACTCCCAGGGCCATCTGTTGTTTATGCCTGCCCAGGATCCATTCCTGCTTCTGGTAATATCACTCCGATTGTCTTTTGGGAATCCTCTGACAACTCCTACTCTTAATCAAGAGAGGGACGATGTAATCCTTGCCCATGAGAGTATAGCATCTGCTTGGCTCTAGGGATTAGGTTAAGGGAGGTCACATGACTCTGACTAGACCAATTAGAAGCAAGCAGGAGTTTTGCTGCACCTTTTGGTAAGCTCTCTTCCACTGGTATTGATAAGCTGTGAAATCAAAGTTTAGTGATGTTGGTGGCCAATTTGCTGTCATGAAAGCAGAGCTGGGTCTGAGAAAGGGGCTAAAACAAAGGAAAGCAAAGTCAAGAGATCATGAGAAATTTCTGATGACATTATTTTAACCCTGGGAACTGGTCCTGCCCCACAGATTCACCTACAGCATTTATCAGCTTTGCGTCATCCTTTTTATGTTTTGTTTTGGTGTTAAAACCAGTCAGACTTTGGTTTCTATTACTTATACTGAAGGAACTGGACTAATACAGATATCATCTAGTGTTGGTAATGATGCCAGGCGCTAGGCGCTCTTGGTGTCATTGTTAGTTGCTATAATTAAAATATATATATACTTTTTGATCTTACAAAAAGCTTGTAAGATGTTTGCAACTAGAGACAAAGAAAAGGCAGAAGGAAAAAAAAAAGTAATTCAAGGGCCAAATGCCCTTTTCATTTCTCATCATACTCATGATCCTTGAATCATTTGACAATTCCCTCTTTGAACTCCATTTTCTTGACTTCCATGACCACCCAATTTCTGGAATCTCCTCCCAACCACTTCAAATATTTCTTTTGGATTTAATTCACAGCATGTTTTCTTTTGCATAAATTCTAGTGTTCCAGAATTTTATCCTCAGCTCTCCATAGGTCAATTGTCCAAGCTAAAAACTTTGACAACATCCTTCATTCTGTCCTTTAGTTTACTTCCCCACATCCTATGGATGAACAAATCTTGTTAATTTATCCCTTAAATATTTCTCAAAATTCCCCCTCTTCTCTATTATTGCTGATACTATTTTGTTAAGAATTCCATCACTTCTTTAGACCAGAATTCTCAATCCCAAATGTGCAAAAAGAACCACCTGTAAAGTCTATTAAAAATGAAATCCCTGGGGCGCCTGGGTGGCTCATTCAGTTAAGCGTCTGCCTTCAGCTCAGGTCATGATCGCAGGGTCCTGATAGCGAGCCCCATATCGAGCTTCCTGCTCAGTGGGGAGCCTGCTTCTTCCTCTCCCTCTGCTGCTCCCCCTGCTTGTGCTCTCTCACTTGCATGCTCTCTTGCTCTCAAAAAAAAAAAAAAAAAAAAAAAAAAAAATGAAATCCCTGGGCATAATCCTTCCAGAGATTCTGATGAACGTGGTCTGAGAATCCCACTCTGATTAACACTATTTTTATCATTGTAACAGCCTTCTAACTGCACTGCTGTATATGTTAACTCTTTTGATCATCTCATTTGTTTACCTGCTTGAAAACTTCCAGATTCACCACTGCCCACAAGATAAACTATAAACTCCTTAATATAGAGTTTGCCTGCTTTCCAACTGCAGCTAACCCCGCCAGTCTCATCTCTCTCTTCCCCAAATAAGCCATCTGTCTGAGGAAAACATCTCTGCAGAGTCTTTCCTCCCACTTTTATCTTAGTTCAACCTCATACAAATACTTAATATTCTATTACCTAGCGAACATTAGAGTGCTTCCAGGTGCCAAGCTCAGTGTTAAATTCTTAACCTCTGTCATTTCATTTAATTCATGCTACTGCCCTGTGAAGTAAGTGGTATTATTATTACAATTTTACAGCTCTGGGAGTCTGAGTGTCAAAGAAGTGACTTGTCCATGGTTATAGAGCTATTAAGGGCTGGAGTGGGTCTCTAAATCAGAGTGCTAGATTGTATATCTGGCCACAGGTTTGCCACACATCTAAAATATGAGCTCCTCAAGGGCCTTGAAGTATGGACAGGGTACTCAATCCCAATACCAAGCCTTCCACATAGTGGGTGCTCAATCTGAGCAGTTGACTCTCTGAATGAATGAATGCTGGGAGGGAAAAATAATAAAGAAGGGAGTCGTCATGTTTATTAGCCTCTATCTCAAAATGTGATTTCATTTTCCTTAGTGATAAAGCTACCTTTTTCTTTTATTTTTTTAGAGAGAGAGAGAGAGCGCATGTGCGCAAGCGGGGGCCAGTGAACAGAGGGTGAGGAAAAGAGACTCTTAAGCAGGCTCCATGCCCAGTGTGGATGGAGCATGATGCAGGGCTGGATCTCATGACCCTGAGATCATGACCTGAGCTGAAATCAAGAGTCGGGCGCTCAACCAACTGAGACACCCATGTGCCCCAATAAAGCTACCTTTAAACTACCATTTGAAAATCACCTAAAACTCATTTTATATTTTTAATAGAAATTTTTGAGATCATTGTAGATTCCCATGCAGTTCTGAGAAATAATTCAGAGAAATCTCACATTTATCCAGTTTCCTTGAAAAGCAGTATCTTAAACAAAATAGTAGAGTTTTACAACTGGGATATCAACATTAATATTGTCAAGTGGGAGAAGGCTTCATCATCACAAAGATCATTCTTGTTGCCTATGAATAGACATACCCACTTCCTTCTTTCCTTCTCTCTAATCTGTTCTCCATTTCTATAATTATGCCATTTCATTCAAGAATGCTACGTAAATGGAATCAGTATGAAACCTTTGTAACTGGCTATTTGCAGAGTTCTTTACATGTTCTAAGACTCTAATTTGTCAGATACGTAATTTGCAACTATTTTCTTCCAGTCTGTAACTTGTCTTTTCTCTGTCTTCACATAGACCTTAAAATAGAAAAAAGTTTTAAATTTCAATAAGGTCTCATTTATCAACTTTTCCTTTTATGGATCATGCTTTTTGTGTCAAGACCAAGAACTCTATCTAGCCTAGATCTTGAGAATTTTCTTTTATATTTTTTTCTAAAATCTTTGTAATTTTATGTTTTACATTTGAGCCCATGATCTTTTTTGAGTTAATTTTTGTATGAGGCATAATGTTGGGTTCAAGAATCATTTTTATGCCTATGATGTCCAATTGTCCTTGCACCACTGGATGAAAAGTCTATCCTTCCTCCATTGAACTGTTTTTGCAACTTTGTCAAAAATGCAAATCTATGATTATCTCAAAATAAAAGTTTAATTAAAAAAAACCCTTGTTTGTAGGTGATGAAAATGTTTTGGAACTAGCTAGAGGTGATGATATACAACACTGTGAATGTGCTAAATGTCAGTGAATTGTGTACTTCACAGTGGTTGATTGGATGTTATGTCAATTTCACTTCAATTTTAAAAAGTGGGAAAAATAAAGCTTATCCTAGCTAACCTTCCAACTAATATTTTATGCATTTCAAATAAGTTTTTCAAAGGGCATAGAAAAGCCTCTTTTCATATCATCATCGAACCTATTTTCTCTAAGTTTGGTTACAGTTTCCAGATCCCTCATTGCTAAAGTTAGGGAATATCCTAATGTCTACTCTCTGAGGCAAATATTTTCAACAGTGAGTCAACATGTGGGCAATTAGAGCAGCACCAGTTCTCAGAGGACCTAATATTTCCTGGCAATCAATCCCGCATGTCCTTACTCATTCTTTGACCGTCTTTTATATCCTCACTTGTCTTCATCCTTCCAAACTAATGTGCCCTAAACAGAACACTCTATTATATCATGTGGTGACCACTGCCTTTTTTTCTCCGAGCGCATAGCCCTGGAAAATATATTTTATCACTTTCCTGGCAAAGAGTTCACAGGTCTCTCCTAGATAAACGCAACATAGTGAATCAAGGGCAGAGAGTCTAAGAACTCTAGGGCTTGCTAGATTCTAGACAGTCTGATGCAGAAACTTCCTCCTATGTATCCTCTTTAATTAATAATGAAGGGGCCCACACTTACATCTGGAAAATTCCTGATCCCAAGGAATCTCGGAGATGACGTGGACGTTCATATCACCAAGCCCTACCTTCAAACAATCAGTGAGATATTTGTATTAATGCATTCAGATCATGTTCAAATGACCAATCAATGTCAGTCTGGGAAACCCTAAACTTAGCATATTTTAAAATACTTTCTGTGAAGAGAAAATTCATCTTTTACTTTCAAGTCATCTAATTCAAGACACCCTGGACATAGTCATTGGAAATTTACAAATTTATTTCAGAAAACATGGCAAACTGGAGCCAAGGATTGACATAATAAAGTGTCTTCTACTCCAACATCTGATCATATTACAGGGCTGAAATGGTTAGAAAGGAGAGGAGACATCTGCATTTCTGAATGAATATAAGCTCTTCTTTGCCTCCTGATATCCTGAACATAGATGAATGGTGAGAGAATAAAACATCACAACCTGCTTTTAATCCCAATCCACTGTTACTATTTATTTATGTCAATATTTGCCATTTCTTCCTTTAAGCCTTGGTAGTACTCCCATCAGGTAAAGGTTGTATTATCTCCTATTAATGTATTGACCTTTTCTCCCCTTTCATATTATCATAAAACTTCTAGAATAGTTTTCCTATATTGTGCTTTGCTGAATATTTGTATCCCAAGGAAATACTAACAAATCTTTTTAAAAAAGATTTTATTTATGGGGTGGAGGGAGAGGAAGCATGGTGGGGGGGGGGAGGGACAAGCAGACCCCACGCTGAGCCGAGTCAATCCCACGACCCTGAGATCATGACCTAAGCCAAATAAAGTCAGAATCTCAACCGACTGAGCCACCCAGGTGCCACAAGTCTTTTATATAATATGTCTTACCCTCTAGTAAGTTTGGAAAACATAGCATAACACCCCTCTCCACCAAAGCCATGATTTTCATAAGTGTATTAAAAGGTGAGAGAAATCCTGTGATAAAAACACCTGTTTAATTCCATTTTCTTAAGCGTATTTTGACCACAAAATACTTTGTGTATGTCTCAATAGCATCTCTAGAATACCAGTGTCTGGAATGCTGTCCTAAAACAAATTGCCTGTGCTTGCTGATTCCATTTTCTTCTTATTATCGTATTAAGTTCTGCAATCTCAGGGAATACCAGCAATCTCCAAAAAGTTAAATCTAGTTATTGATTTTTGTTTCCTTCAATGATTATTTCTTTTGACTTTTCTGAGGTCACCTCCACAATCAAGAGCATACACACTTTTCAAACTCCTCACTGGGATTTCATAATTTTTTTTTTTTTTAAGTAGGTTCTACCCCCAACGTGGGGCCCTAACTGCTCTGACTCACAATCCTGAGATCAGTGATTGCATGCTCCACTGACTGAGCCAGCCAAGTGCCCTATAATGCTCTATCATTGTTATCAAATAGGTATACCAAGTTCTTTAACTTAAGAGTTTGGGAATTATGTGCATTTATAACACCCTCAGCAACTAGGACTTGGGCTTATACATAATATGTACTGCATAAATCTTGGAAGATTGGCTGGTTAATTCTAGAAACAGCCCAAGTTTGTATCTCCCATGAAGCTTTCCTATGCTGTGGCCCATATTAAACTTCTTTTCCTGTCCCCTTCCTAGCACTTACTGTCTCTATAACTTACCTTGGTTCATGTTTGTAGATTTGTTTCCTATGTGTATGAAGTTTCTCCTATCGAGGCTTGTGAGTGCTTAAAGGGGGAAAATCTGTGTTTCATGGATTTTTGTCTCCCAGATGGGTGAGAACATAATAGAAATTGGTTAAATAAATTTAAATGGAAAGTAGCTGGAATGGTCTTACTACACTTTGCTTTATTATTATTGACATTAATGATACAATGCTACTATTCTAGTCTTTTATGCAGACAAAATTAAATGATATAAAATACATAATACACTTTGATCATTTTAACCATTCACAAAATACTGAATGATTGAAACTATGTTACATGTGTCTTTTACAAAGGAAAAACTGACTCCTATAATAACACACTCAGGTGAAATTTATCATTACATTTTGGGTGTTATACAATGTTAAATATGAATATATTCAGAAGAATTACTATTTATAGAACAAAATTGATATTTTACTATTAAAAATAGTAAAATGATAGTAAAATACTATTTAAAATAATGAAATGTAAATTATATTCAAATACATAAAGGAACTAACTCTCAACTGAATACTTATAAAAATATTTTTTAAGCAAAAGCTATGATCTACTCATTTACTTGGCAGTTACAAAAATATATATTCACCTGAAACGCTAATAAATTTGCTTGAGGCATAAGATACTCAAATTTAAATGTGTTTTCTAAAGCATTTTACCAACTTAGTATTCTTGATTTCATACAGTATATATACCTACAAGGTATTAGAATAGGTTTGCATTACACATCGTGTCATTTCAAGTAAAAGACACAAGTGACCATTAACACAAAAGAGACACTGTGAAGGCTTTCGAACCAAACACACCCAACACATCAATGAGGCCCACTGGCTCTGCCTTGTACAAAGTAAAGTCTCAAACATATTTGTGGAGTGAATACATGAATGGATGACATTGCTTCTGTTATTTGCACACAAAATTATCCAAAGCTTTCTATTTCTAGTAGAGATATCATTTGAAAATTCAGTAACTATTCTTCAACAGCTACTTCTTCTGGATGGCCAAGGTAGCTAAACTGACTCCAGCCTAAGTAGGACATTACTGTCAGTGATCAGAAGAAGGCCTACCAGGTATGCCTTACCGTGTACAAATCTGATATCTGTAGAACGAACATTCCATATATTGAACAACCCATATTTCATCTCTTCATCTAAAACATGAGAATCTAAGTAATTTCAATAATGTATTATCACAGAAACAAAAAGTAGCAAATATATGTATACAGAAACATATATAGAGATATAGGTATCTCTACCTCTATCTATCTTAGTAGACTTCAGATGTCTCTTCTCAGTGAGAAAAGCAAGCTATCCTGAGTGAAGAAGGCCATATGTCTACGGAACAACAGCTAGAGAATGCATAGGCCATACTTTTACAATCTTCCATGCGTGCAAAACGTGGCGATATGAATGCTGAGATCACTGTTAAAAGCAAAAGGCTTGAAGTAGTAAAAAAAATTTTTTAAACCAAAGACTAACTGTGCTAACAATTACAGAATTACAGCACCTAGGAAGACTGCGACCACTATATGTAAAAGGAATTACCCTGAGCCCATTCTTGGCCCAGACTCCGCTCATAACTTCCCCCCACCTCTTCTGCCTCATGTAGGGTGAAACTTTTCTGAGGCTTATCACTAAAACTTCAAAAATCTGATAGCGTACAGAATATTTTTCTTAATCAAACTTCAGATCATTCTAAACCATTTCAAAAGCTTTTGCCTTTATTCTGAAGTAGAACAACTGACAATTCACTCAGCAAATTGGTATGCATGTTTATTTATGTGTGTGTGTGTGTGTGTGTGTAGGTATATATTCAAAAGGATTGTTTGGGTATATGCACACACACACACACACACATTAATGAAATAACTACCACTGGCTTCAGGAAAGTAATTAAACTATAATTTAGTATGTTAATTTACTTAAAAAGGAGTCTTTAAGAATTAAACATAGTTTCTAAAAATTCAGAAGCAATTTAATCACATACAAAATATTAGTTTCCATATTAGTAAATACCACTAGTGAAGAAAATCTAAAAATAACCTTAAAAGTAAAATGTAAAGTAAAATGACTTAAAGTAGGGTTATTTATTTTAAACTTCAATATTATGTTTTTTTTTTTAAATACAAGTGAATAAAAATATGCCCTTGTAACCTGCCCTAATTCATAGGAAAAGATCTATATGAACTAATCAAGGAATACTTTAGTACTTTAAATACAAATACATTATTTTCAAATACATAGAGTACCTAACTCTCAACTAAATGCTTCCACGTCCCTAAATATTATTTTTTTCCTAAAAATTGTATGTGCACAGAGGGCTGAAAATAGTTTTTCTTTCTTTTTTTAAAGATTTTATTTTTAAAGTAATCTCTACACCTAACGTGGGGTTTGAACTCACAATCCCGAGGTCAAGAGTCACATACTTTACCAACTGAGCCAGCCAGGTGCCCCCAAAATAGTTTATTTTCTTAAATTAGTTAATATGCCCCTTAGGATTTTTTTTTTTTTACCTATTCATTATCTTGGCTTTAATAGTTAGTACCAAGGATAATTTCATTTCATACTGAACTTAGGTTAACTATCACAAAATTTAAATCAATAGAGTCAGAACCAGTATCATTACAATATCTATCATATGAAATTAGCCCGTTTTTAAATCAAACATTGTTGCTGCAAGAAGAGTGACCACTGAATGCATAGGGAATCTAAGCCACTGAAAGAATGTGATTTAAAGAGACAGGAAATAGTGTGAGACTTCTAAGATTAGGATATTGGTTCATAAAATAAAGCCTACCTTCTAAAGTCAACTTTATATAACCAATATAAGTAAAACTCGTACAGAAATTCTTTGTTTCTTTCTTTCTTGTTAAACAGTAACGGAAATAGATATAAAATTCTAGTCTCTTCAAATTGCTCATTCTGTTAATGCTATATTAAGTTTTGTAATATTTAATATTAGATAACTTTATAAGATATGATGGAATACTTAAGATGTATTGACAATGGATTACTGGTTAGCAATTATTTTTGGGTTAGATCCCATGTTAAGAACCAAACTTTCTACTCATGACCTTCCCTTTTAGGGGAAGAGAGGCAAATGTCCAAACGCGGAACTCGGAAGAACTGCTGGTAGGCTTTAGCAATGTTTAAAGGAGTTATACAGGAGCACGTGAGCAGTTAGGTAGAGGAGTATGTGAACATTTAGGTAAACCCATTCTAAAAACTCAAGGCCGGTTAAATGTCTTGTCTTTATTCATTCATTCATCGGACATTTTTTATCCTTGCCACTGTTTTGGAATCACAGTCAAATTTTATAGGATATACTTTTTCAGAATTTCAAAACATATCTGAAACTGTTTATCTGCAATGATGAGGAATCTATTTTTTGAGATTGCAGTAGTGTTGCATTGCCTCGAAACTGTGCATCCAGAATGGTAAAATGTCTAAGAAATCCTAGGATTTTCACATATTAAAGACACTTTACATGTTTCCATTCATTTTTTCCCTCAATATAAAGTGCGTAATTTAATGGCAACGAGTGTCACATAACTCCAGCTTTATTAACAGCTAACTGGTAATAATATTACAACAGTTCTTCTATTAATAAGGAGAAGCAGCGTAATGTATGAAGAAGAAGTCACAATGTATGTGACTAACTTGGGAGAATCACTGGGCTCTTCTTTGCTTTAGTTCCTCAACTGTGAAATGGGGGTGATGAAGAGAGTACCATCTCAAATCGCTGTGAGGATTTGTAGAGCAATAACAACAAAACAGGGGTAAAGCCCTTGGAGGTATTGCTTGGCACACAGTAATTACTTAAATGTTAGCTACAATTTTTATTTTAAGAAAAAAATGACAGTGACTGATGCTAATATAAATCATTACTAACTTTTGAGCATTTAATAAGTGCCAAGCACTCTGATAGATGGTACACTTACACTACATTTAACCCTTAAAATATTAACCACATCCTATTATATAGAGATTAGATCCTTAAAGATATGCTATAATTTATACATACCATAATAGCAGATAATTTCCCCCATGAAACATAGCAAAGTATGACTGAAGCGTTTAAGTGACCACTTCATCCTTCTAATGAGAAATAAGGCTTCCAGAATGGTGATTAGAAAATAGTAATGACATTATGAAAAATCCTTGCTAGTTGATCAGTTCTGCTCCCTCATTAGCCTGCATTGAACGTCATCAATTTTTCAGTATGGGAAATTCACAAAATACTAATGTCATGGACCTTCAGGGTCAGCTGTTAATAATATCAAGAATGTTAAATCCCTACACGTCAATATAGGTATTTGTGTTAAGGTCCTATCTTCACTAAATTTGAAGTGTTCACCTTTTTCTTTGAAAACTTTGGAGTTTGTTTCTTTATGTCTCATTATGTATATGGACTTAATGCAAAAATCTTAAGTGTTTCTGTGCCAAAGAACAGTTTTTATCAGCTTGACCAGTATATGAATACCTCACACATATGTAACACAGGTTTTTTGTTTTTCAGTACACAACTGTTAGTGATGAAGGTTTTTAATAATCATTTGAAAAGCATTATCAAATTTCATAAATTAAAATTTAATAATGGTCTGTATACTTCAGTTATAAAAAGCATTTCACATACTAAATTAGCCTAAATCCATATAATTATCACAATCACAGTAAGGGCATTTTAATTGCTTTGAAAATTAAAGACCCAAAAATCAGTATGACCATATTCATTATGCTAACAAACAAAGTTCTTTTATCAACATAGAGATGGTAAGCATTACACATACTTTAGAATGAAAACAGAATTCACCTTGTGCTTCCATATGTTATCAAAGTCTTTAATAGTCCTTGTAAAGTTCAACAAATAAAGCTTTATTTCATATGTTATACACAAACCTTGATAGAGAAATACTCAGCACGGTATATTCTATTACAAGTCTCAGTTCTCATATGAAAGCCTTCATAAAAGTAAGAATTTTAGGTATCTTTCTAAGTCAGAGGTTAAATTTTTAAATGGGCTTACGTTTCCTCCTTTACCCTTCTCTCCCCTCCTGTACCTCTCTGATCTCCACCGCTGCCCACCCCTGGCCCAGCCCCAGTGCACACGGCCCAAGGGAAGCCAGTGACAGCACCTGGCTGCTGGAACTGTCCACAAGCACAAAGGATACCTAGAAGGGGATGGAAGAAAGTCTTGGTAGAAGCCTCCATCAGCTCTCTTCTCTTCTACAGAGAAATAAACCCTCAGGAGAAAAAGTAGAGCATGCTCTTCACCTTTCACACATGAGCTACCTTCTCTGATAGAGGTGAGGGACTGAATCCCTATGACAGCACCCAGCCTCTACTGTCTGTAACATTTCTGTGGGAGGATTTGGAAAGTGTGTCCAGGTGTCCTCAGTGAAAGGCTTCTTCAAGTGGAAACAGCCATGATTACATGATCCCATTTAGAGAAGATGAAAACAAACACAATAAAATAATTTGAATAAATGGGAGAGGGGGCACAATGGTTCATTTTTTTATCTCTGATTTTTTTTCATAAATTCCAGGGATGAATTTTACCCTAAGAATGAACAGTGAGTGTCACTACATACAGAGATGAGTTGGTGAAGCTTCGAATTGTCCGAATGACCTCCGATCCGTGGCCACCACAAATATCCAAATACAGGTTGAACACTGGTTAGTTACTCCATGGTGAAGGATTTAGAGAAAAAAAAAAAATTGATTTCTTGAATGGAGAATGTGTAGCCAGCATGTCCTCTGTGTGGTGAGCAGAAGCTTCTGCTTGCCTGGTTCCTTGGGGAGTCTCTTCATTCTTCTCCCGCGGGGGGAGGCGGCTCACACAGCTTGTAGAGCCTAGAAAAGGCACGGAAGAGTGGGACACGGGCCTGGCACATTGCCATCACCTGAGATGTTGTTACCGGTAGGAAAAGGATATTGACAGTGATTTCCTGGCTCAGGAGTCATGATCATATTGCCTATTTTACTAAACATCACATATGAATTAGCAAACTCCAAAACCTCAGCCCTATTATTCAGAAAACACCCATGTCTCTTTGCTGCTCTAGAGGACTAGTGATGCCTTTTCCACACCAGCTGCTTCTGCTCTGGGCTGCCAACCCCGACTGCTCACCTTTCTGGCAGCAAAATCGATTCTCTGAATTCTAGGAGATGATATTATTATGCTAATTACCATCTTATCTATCACGATGAATTTGTAGCAAAACAGCACCTGCTCAGAGGGGTCTGCTGGCTTTCTGACCTGTTTTCGAAAGTTGCTTCACTTTGTACCATCTCTTCAGTGCAGTCAGTTACAAATAGGGCTGATGTGGCAGAGTCCTGAGGCCTGACTCCCAGGCACAATTATCTGGTATTTCCTGAGGAATACCTGCCCAGCTCTGCTCATCTTTCCTCTCACCTGTCAGCAGAATCAGGTGGAGATTCAAGTGGGTCAAGGCATCTACTTGAGCTGGTGGAGATGCCTGGAAGTGCTCCCTCTTGGCATCCCAGATCTAGATGTTTGAGGTCATTTAGCATTAAGGCAAGGAGTGGGGGACTGAAGGAGGATTGTAGAAGCTCCAGGGCTCCACATTCTCCTGAATGGTTATATCCTAGCTCCAGAATGAAATGAAGGAGAACATAACAGCTGCAAGACAGCCAGTGACCAGACAGGGCAAACCTATATGGAAGGTACAGGCTGAGTGAAGATCAGCTGACTAAGCTGACCAGGTGTCAGACTACAGACATTCCCAGTCCTATAGTTCCATGGCCATGCTGACCCTACTTCAGAGCTTCGTCTGTGATCTAAACATCTTACGGACAGGTGTCAACTTTGCTCCTTTTAAAAAGTACTCCAAACTCAGGGGTAGCTGTGGTGATTCACTTCTTTTATAGATGAAATCGGACAAAGTTTACATGAGTTGTTGACAAACTCAGCAAATTATGTTTCCTCTTCCTTCCACATTTAATCCCATGCTAATTCTAAATCAAATGGGGGAAAAGACTGAAAAGGGGTGAATATTGAGTTAGAAACCTAGTTAAGAAAATAAACTCTCCTAGTCTGGAAACACACAGAAAAAGTTACTGCCCTTTGGAGATTTGCAAAATGTATTTCAAGTCTGAAAGGTGCTTAATGCTCTACATGTCATCTCCATGGAAGAAAATGAATACTGAAATAAGGACATCTCACATCAGAAGAGTTTATTTCACCCTTCCCGGAGAAAAGGATACATTAAATTGAGCTGAAATAGTTGAAAGCTGCCTTTGCAGTTGAAAAATATGGTATTGCTTCAAAATGCATTCCCAGTGCCAGAATAATAGAATGATCGAAAAGTTCTTTTCCTCTTTAATTTCTATCCTTTCATTTCCCTGATAGCGCTGCCTAATGGGTGGAAAGACAGTGGCCTTACTCAGGTAGAACAGAAACAGTAAGCTGAGTGGCGACTGTCCTACCCCGTGAGATCTGGGCTGCGCCATGACAGTCCATTACCTTGCACTGTACGTTTCCACATAATGGAGCTAATGCCACTGGGTGGACGAGTCTTTGAAATGTGTGCCTTGCAAATTGGCAAAAAGGCTACTCCCTGTGATCACGTAATGAAATAATAGCTGTGGGTACTGCAGAGCTGGGCAGATTCAGCTTCTGTGAGGCTTCTTGGAAGTGACTCAGGGTTATTTCAGTTCAGACACATTTATAATGGAGATTGTGGGGCTTGGGGAATTTAGAACAGGCAGACGAAGTTGGGAAGCAAAATGTAACAGTTAAGAGTTGGACTTTTACCCTGCACTGAGGCATTTGTTTCTCTGGCAGCTAAACTGTTAGGTAATGGGAGGCCTGGTTTTGCCCAACATTTTAGGACCCTTGTCTTCTCATTCCACTCAGGCACACCCATGCCCCTGTATGAAAAGGTTTGTTCCTGGCTCCATTTTCTTCTTTGCCTGTTTGGGCTCTGGCAGCCATCTTTGAGCTGGTATTTCCAGCCCAATCCCCATCTGCTGGAAGTAGAACTTTCAAACTTCAATCTATAGATCATGCCCTTCATCTTTCTACATGGCATAAATAAAAGCTGTGTTGAGGGAGACCACAAAGCAAATGCCTCTTTTGAAGGCTAGAGCGTCAATAATCATCTGTCCCAAGGCAATTCCCCCTATCTTACAGATGAGAAAATGGTCTCAGAGAAAATAAATAACCTGGCTAAATAAGGCCACAAGCAGGAGCTGGGACTCAAAACCGTGTTTTTCACTTGTAACCACCACCGTATGCTGCGTCACAATTAAGCAAATAAAGAAAATCAAGCTTTCCTAGCACAGTGGTTTCCAGGTTTTGTGACACAATAGAAAATAAGACCAGTGTGTCATTACATCTAAAATGTAATATTTGGTTCTTGATGAAGATTAAGTTTATTCCTCTGAAGACGCAGCACATGAAGGTGAGGGGAAGACCATGGTTTGTTACTGCTCACAAACGCATCTCCACGTAGGTGTCCCATTGATCCTCAGTCCCAATATTACTGAGATGAGCTCATCCTCTTTTCCCTACACATGCTTATTTTTCTCAGTGACTAGAACCATTTGCCCCTTGTCATCCAAACCAAAGATTTGGTGGTCCTTCTAGAATCTTCCTTTTCCCTAACCTCCTTCATCCAATTAGTGTCCAAAGACTATTAATTCTGTCTCCTAAATATCTCTTGAACCATCTCTCCTTTTCTTCCTCAATACCATGACAATCTCCTCTCAGGCTCCTGCCTTCAGTCTTTGCTGTCCTCAAACGGATCTTCTTAATGATGCCAGAGATAAATTTGAAATTTTAAATCTTCCAGACAGGAAGACTGCATTTTAATACCTCCCTAGTGTCTTCAAATGAAATCAGAGCTCTTCAGTAACCCATACACATCTCTTCCTGATCCAGCCCCTGCCTATGCCTCCAGCCTCACCTTTTATCATTCTTAAATCACATTCAACCACCAGTCATAGAGACCTGGTGTAGTTTCGGGAGTGAGATGTGCTCTCCAGGCGTGGGTGTGATTGCATCAGCTGTGGAGGACATCTATTCCATGCCGATTGGGAGGAACGATTGGGCCCGGAACACTCTGCAGCCTCCCCTCTCTGTCCTTAGGCTGACTTTTGCGCCCCTTCTCTCTGTTCTCATGGCAATCTGTGCCTATGTCTGACACAGTACTTACATTTTGGATACTGTTCTCATTTTATTCCATTGTCTCTCTACTGCACCCCATTGACTAGTGGAAGGGACCAAGTCTTTATTTCTAGCTTTTAACAGTGTCTGACATCTACAAACATATGGCAGAAATTCAACATACTGTCTGCTGAGGTGAATTTTAAGTAGTGAAAGACAGTGAATGGGGAAAGGAAAACTATGGGAGAGATTGGTAAGGGATTTTAACCAAATATTATCTCAGGCAGAGATAGCAAACTCTATCTCCTCCATAAAGATATTTCCAGAAACATTACCCCAGACTTGTCTATGGGTGGCCTGTTCTTGAGAGCCAAATTTGTTCTTCAATTTGCTGTCTTTGGGCAGGAATCCTGGTTCTCAGCTATCTCTGGCCCTCTGGGCCCTCGGCACTGTCTCTACACCACCTCATAGAGTGCTTCTCACATTCTGCCTTTTCTTCCAGTTATGTTTTGTCATCTCATTTCTTTGCTTGAAAGGTCCTTAAGGGCTGGAATTGTTTCTATCTCGTGTTTATGTTCTCCATGGGGCATAGCAGGGTGCTGTGCATTTCTTAAGTCCTCAATAAATATTTGTAGAACGAGTGAAAGAATACATAAAACTAAATTTAAAAATTACTCTCAATTTCTCCCTTGGGATTGTTACTCTCTCGTAAAAAATGTCAACTCTACAGCTGGCACATTTTATTATGTCTCAGTTCAAGTGTTTTAAAACACAACCCAATAAAGAAAAAAGTGAGTTCATCGGGTTCTTTTCTTGTATTCAGCTTGCGTACTGGTTTATTGATCAGGACGCTGAAGTCTTATCTTAACCTCACTGTTTATTAGTGTTTATAAGCTCTAGCTAAGAAGACCTTGCTAAGCCATTATCTTGTTTTCTTATTGGGATTTTAACACTTCACTGGGTCTGTTATCCAAATATACCATGTCTGCTCAAGGTGTTAGAGAGAGAATGCCTATGTGAAATGATTCTTTAGCAACAGAAGGTCTTTCTAGCCTAATCAACTATGAAAGATAACATTAATAAGACTTGAAGATTAAATAGAGTCAGAAGTCAGAACTAAAAATAAACACACTTAGAACACGAGGGCTCCATCCATTGTCAGGGGGAAAATGTGTTTTCCCTTTGGAAAGTACTTCCATTACCCACATACTTTTTTTAGAATGAAATATAACTTCATAAATGCTGCAGTCATCATTCTCACTCTGGTAACTGCTTTGTAAACAGAAACAAAGAGTGTCTTGTCTGTGATGGTGCTTGGAGGAGGATACTTTTTGTTAAATGCCAACTGTATAAAAACAATCAAATGTAAAAGAAATCATTTAATATTGCCCCACTTCAAGAGAGACGGCTGCCTACCCTAATGCCACCGGAGAAATGAAATGAACATTTCTTTGATGGCTGTTCCCATGTTCATTTATTCCAAAGGTGGATTAGAGTCCCTTCTTTTGATGATATGTGAACTGGGAATATCTGGCATGATCACAAAGAAAAAGCTCATTCATTCATTTATTTATTCATACATTCTTGAAAGCCAATATTCAATGTCTACTATATAGCACTATGATGAGCAAGGAATAAAATTAAAAAAAAAAACATATTCGCTGCCTCCAAAGAATTCATATTCAGGTTGGGCAAGGAGTCATGGAATAATATTTTGTAACACAATATGATAAGGGCTATAACAGACCAATACAAGATGATAAGGGAGCGCAAAGAAGAAGAAAATTCAGCCAAGACGTTGAAGAGAAAAGGACATCTAAGTTGGGTTTTGTGGTTAAGTAGGAGTTTTTCATACAGACACAGATGGGAAAAGCAATCATGCCCAAGGTAACGGCATGCGCAGGCATAGAAATAGAAATGAAAATGGCATTGTGTTGGTTCAGTACAGTTGGAATACAAATTTCAGTAGCACCTATGTAGACTGCAAAACAGAATAATGTCAAGACTTCTATTACCTCTCAGTTTGCTTCCCCTAAAATTCCGTTGAATTCAGAGACCATTTATGCCTAGTCACATTTAGCTACAGAGTGTTTACGAGGCCAATTTGCATGCTTACAATCAGTACTGCACTAGGCATGTGCTGGGGCAGGTGCGTAAGCTGTGAGTGACCCTGCCTGAGAAATGGTGGCCAGTTCTTTGCAAAAGAGCAGACCTGGGGAGTCACTTACCTTGGAGCAGACTGTGGGGTTCGGTCTCTGATTCCCAAATTCTTTGCTGTGTTCTGAACTCTTGCTCCCTGAAAGAATAAGGAAGATCATTTTTTAGCTTTACATTGTATTAGCAATTATTTAACATACCATTAACATTTGAGAGTAGAGTATTTATTCCCACAATGTATTTAATGTCAAGAGAGACTAGATGAAGCAGAAGAGAGAAATCATCTGAGCATTTTTATAACTAATGCTTTTAAGAATCAAAATATGCTGATATATCGTTCCAAAGGATTGATATTTATTTCAGTAGCCATCCGAATCATTCAAAATAAATTTAAATCACAGCTTCTTGTTCACTATCTCAGCTACGTCTTTATTCCTAGAAGCAAGCAATACTTTAGATGTTGAAAATAAGAAATAAGCAGGCTACAAATACCTGCTGTGTCCCCACTTTTGGGGAACAGAAATCACAGTTCTATCGCACTCATGCACCTGTTTTGTCCTTAGCTGAATAATTAGCTATTTTAAACTTCATAGTATTTATCAAGAAAATATTTTCTTAAATAGTTCTAAAGCAATTTCTGGACAAGGCATGGACATGTGGCTCTCTGAAATGTAAGAATTCTGTTTCGAAGTTTAGAGTCCAAAGACAATGTACTTTAGCCATGAAAAAGTCTTCACAACCTGCCAAGTTCATGAATGATGCTATAATCATTGCTCAGTTCCTAATGGGAATTAGTTACTACATAGAACCAAACACCAGGTTTGGGGCTGAGAATAGATGAAGGAGAGTGGTTTAAAAAAAACCTCTGAAACTCTCTCTCCTGCTACCAAATTTCTGAGCTGTGGGAAGGGGAGAAAGAAAAGGAGAAAAGGAAGAAAGGAAAACAAAACCTATTTTCTCAAGTTAGACCAAATAAAGGAAAGCAAATAGGGAAAAGGGGTGGGGGTGGCAGAAAGACAGACGGGAAGGAATTTAGGAATCACAATTAAACAATAACTCTTTATTTTGTAGTACTTTTCGACTTAGAGAAAAGTTATAAAAGCAGAACAGAGAGTTCACATACCCAGCTATGTAATCTCCCTCTAACACTTACCCTACAGTATGATGACCAAAACCAGGGAAACAACCTTAGTACGATGCTGCTAGTCTTATTCAAATTTCACCATTTCCCACACTTGTGTCCCCTTTCTATTCCAGGATCCAATCCAGGATCCCCTACTGCATTTCGTTTTCTTGTCTCCTTGGTCCTCTGATCCATAGCACTTCCTCAGTTTCTCTTTGTCTTTCATGACCTTAATATTTTTGAGGAGTACTGGTCATTATTTTGCAAAATGTTTCTCAATTTGGGTTTGTCAGATCTTCCCTCATGATTAGATAGAGGACATGCATTTTGTGCTTTCTCGGTGCATGAGATCACTGACATTGACCGTTACATGATGTCTCTACGTCTTATCATTGGTGCCATTAACTTTCATCACTTGGTTCAAGTGGTGTCTGCCAGATTTTTCCACTGTAAAGTTTCTACTTTTCTTTTTGTAGTTAATAATTATGTTGGGGAAGATACTATGAGACTATGCACATACATTGTTTCTCTTCAAACTTTTGTTCACTGATTTTAGCCTCCATTGGTGTATCTTGTCTGCAAAAATGATACTGTAGCATTTAGGAAGGAATGCTTCTATAAATAAGAGTTATCCCTTCTCCCCAAATCCATTATCTATTTATTCAAGCATTTATTTAAATCAGTATGTATTTATGCATATTTATTTTATTCTGAGTTATTATCCAATATTTCTATTATTAACAATTTGTTGTTGTTGTTAAAATTGTTCCAGATTGGCTGCTAGGAACACCTTCAGGTGGCTTCTCATGTCCTCCTGAAAGAATCACAATCATTTTTGAATACTTGTTTATTTTTTGGTACCTCAAGATGTTCTAGGCTCATCTTCTCCATCTCAACTGGAAATTAACCACCTCTCCAAGGACCCTTGGTTCTTTTTAATGGAGAATTATTATTTAGAACCCAAGATCTGGATACTGGGTACACTCATTGCTACTACGGGCATGTAACTGCTTCTAGGTCTTCTCAGGAGACAGGCTAGTTGACTAATGCCAACATACTCAAACATCTATAGTTATTTCTACGTCTATGTATATCTCTGTGTGTGTCCATCAGTTCAAACTGCTACCTCTGATTCAATCCCAGGCCATAGGGTTCATTCTGGATTACAGCCTTCTCCATTTCCCTATTTTCAACTTCTTTTTCTGACAGAAAGAAACTTTATTCTCATTATTTACAATATATTTACTTATCTATTCAAGTCTAGTATACACATAAGCTAGTTTTATAATTTCTGAATCATATCCCTGTGAGAAACAGATTTACTATAGTATTTATGTATAATTCTTTTTGTCTTTAGTCTCGTAATATTCCATTAAATAATCTAATGAAAGACTTTTGCTTTCTTAAAAGGTTGCAAATAAAACTGATGCTTATCATGCTGACCACAACTATTGGCATATTCCACAGTGAATTCAACTAATGCCAGGTACTTGCACTTTTTTAAAAAAGATTTCTTTATTTGAGAGAAAAAGAGAGAGAGAGGGAGAGAGAGTGCACATGCATGGAGGGACAGAGGGAGATGGAGAGAGAAACTGAAGCAGACACCACGCTGAGCGCAGAGCCTGATGCAGGGCATGATCTCATGATCCTGAGATCATGACCTGAGCTGAAACCAAGAGTCAGATGCCTAACTGACTACACCACCCAGGTGCCCCGATACTTGCACTTTTATACCCTTGCTCATGTTGTTCCCTCTACCTAAATACCCTCTCTCTCATCTTTCCTACTGTCCACATCCCATTTATCCCCCCAGGCTCAAAGCAAACACCATCTTGGGCAATAATTAATTGGTCCTTCACTGTATCAGGTACTGTTTTAAGTACATTGAGTATATTGCTTCCTTTAATCCTCACACCACTATGGGGCAAATGCTATTATTATCTTTGTTGTCATAATGAGGAAACTAAGTAACAGAGAGACTTATAATCTTGTCCCAAATGATACAGACGGTTAACACTGGCCTGGGATTCAAACTGAGGTTGTTTGGCTCAAGAATCTATGCTATTAAGCTACTATCATATTACCGCTTGCGGCATGAAGCCTTTTCCTGGTTATCCTAGTTAGAACTAATTCATTGCCCTCACGTCATTCAGCATCTACTCTCTGCCTGTGCCACCAAAACAAAATATACTCAGTGTCCCAGCCATTGAGGGGCTCACTGTCTAATCACTCATTTATTCCCTGTCTTCTGTCCTAAAACACTGAGGTTGTATATCACTCGTCTGTTGGTGCCTGTATCACCATGATTTGCCCCCACGTGGCCATCATGAGATGGCACAAGAACCACATCTTCCTTAGTCTTTGATATTGGTGCCCAGTGTAATGCCCTGAGATTGGAGGTGAGGAGACAGAATTCTTTGAGATTCCAGTTTTATTAAAAAGGTCAAAACATTTTTGAGATCAGCTTCAACCAAATAATACTTGGAATGATTAATCTGCAGGACAGAAAACTTTGTTTCTAATATCAATGAGAGCTTCTCCCTCAAGCCTTTTATTAATGAGATCCATTGGTTATGTCAAAGTGCTGCCTAGGATTATGATGATCGTTATCAAAAAATTAGAAGGAGCGGGCGCCTGGGTGGCTCAGTTGGTTAAGCGACTGCCTTTGGCTCAGGTCATGATCCTGGAGTCCCTGGATCGAGTCCCGCATCGGGCTCCCTGCTCGGCAGGGAGTCTGCTTCTCCCTCTGACCCTCCCCCCTCTCATGTGCTCTCTCTCATTCTCTCTCTCTCTCAAATAAATAAATAAAATCTTTAAAAAAAAAAATTAGAAGGAGCATGGGACCCTTCCTCCTATCCTTCAGCTTTCCTTCCAACAACTCAACCAGGGCATTCGAAAAGTCTATGAAAAGTACGTATACAAAATCTGTACATGAAAACAATAGTGCAGCTAGAAGAATAAATCATGCTGAAGAGCTTCTTCTTCCTAAAAAGGAAACTAAAGATCTTAGAGAATCTTATTTATTAACTTGGCAAATATCCCAACCATTCAGTCTCTGGAGGGTTTTATCTAAATGGCTGAAAGGCAAAGGGAACAGAAGAGTTAGATCTTTGATTCCCACCTGTGTTCTAACTACTCAGATCACAGGCAGGGGAGAGTTGGCTTGTAGAGTGGATCCCAGTCACTAATCCCACCACCTGTACCAGCTGAACCCTGGAGAGAGGATGAGCAACAGAAGGAGTACCGCAAAAATCTCTCTGTGCATCAGTTTAGCCCAGTTTCTCCAAAGACAGGGGCCCCAGGCTCTCTGACCGACCTTTCATGAAGAAGTCAGAAACCAGCTCTTTGTCTCCAAGCCACTTGGAGCAGAGAAACAAGTAACAAAGGAGGGAAGCTACCTATTCTAAATGTATTTATTTTAAAAATATGGAAGGGAGAAGTGATAACGAAAAACAGCGCAGTTTAGAAATCAACCATGATTTGATAAGAAACTTCGTAACTTTTCAGTTGACTTAAGTTATATTTTGTAAATATAGAATAATATATATTAATAATATATGTAAATATCATTATGTACATTGTATCTCAGAAAGGTTTGCACTGCTTAAACAAGTCATTAAGGTTTACATAATATGATTTTTACTTCCCATCTCTATTTTATCGATCTCTTTTTTCAGTTGTGAGAACTTAAAGGTTTTGATTATTGAAGTCCATATAATATGACTGTATATCTAGCCAATCCATCATTATTCCTGTACTAGAGTATTCTAAAACAGACTAATAACAGTCTCTTAGTCTCGCCATAAACTATAATTTTGAGATGGCTCCCTCAAGTCTTATTGCAAACTTACTCTAACAGCAACAGAGTGAAACAGAATGTTTAGTCTCTTTCTGTATTTTTGGCATACCAAACCCAACCCTGATATGGATAATCACAAGTTTACCTTGATCTATTTTTTAAAACCAAATCTGTATATCCAGCCAAAAAATCCTTCCAAAATCTGCTGGCATTTGCATCTGTATTTGCCCTTTTCCAGCTGACCCATAGTACGGCCTGTGCTTCTTGTGGATCTAACCTTTACTTAGCAAATCCCTCCTGGACCTTGTGAGATCTTGGTTTTTAGTCTCCAGCCCCAAGGTTCCCAGCCTGAAGCTCCAATGTAGCTCTACTTGTTGCACCTTATTTCTGAATTGCAGACCCCAAACTGGTGCCAGCCTCATGACTGCTTCCATGGATTTTTTTTTTTTTTTTGACATTCTGTAGTATCATCTTGGGAGCAAACCCACAGGGATTTGTATGTTTGTGTAAGAGTTATACGCTAACTCTTGAGTAAATAAAGCAGTTTTAACTACCAAAGCATATCTTGAAAACTAAGTCACTTGGGGTGCCTAGGTGGCACAGCTGGTTAAGCATCTCTTGGTTTCAGCTCAGATCCTGATCTCAGGGTTGTGGGATGGGCCCCAAGTTGAACTGAATCAGGCTTGAGCTCAGCGGGGTGTCTGCCTGAGACTCTCTCTCCTTCCCCCTTGGCCCCTCCCTCCATGTGCTCTCCTTCTCTTTCTCTAAAATAAATAAATAAATCTTAAAAAAACAAAAACAAAACCAAACTAAGTCACTCACTAACACTGGGCAATTCAAACCAAGTGAGCATGTAGAGAGACTTGTTAAATCAATTTTCTGTGGTAACCCTGAGAAAATGTGGCAGAAGAAAATATAAAATTGATCTTTTCCAACTTATTTTGTGTTTCTACTAAGTTGTGTCTTTTCTATTAGATTAAGTACATTTTCCGAATAATCAACAAATTAGAGGTTAGTGCATTTTTCTTATCTTTTAAAAGAATTTTAAGAGTTAAAAACCAAACTGTGACATTTAAAATACCATTGGGTATTATATCCAAAAGTTCCTTCTCTTGATAAGAAAGTATATTCCCGGGCGCCTGGGTGGCTCAGATGATTAAGCGTCTGCCTTCGGCTCAGGTCATGATCCCAGGGTCCTGGATCGAGTCCCGCATCGGGCTCCCTGCTAGGTGGGGAGCCTGCTTCTCCCTCTGCCTCTGCCTCTCTCTCTCTCTGACTCTCATGAATAAATAAATAAAACATTAAAAAAAAAAAGGAAAAGTATAGTCCCACTTAAAAATACTTCAGTGACCTAAAGACATTCCTAAGATTGCTATTCATCCTCTGAAGGAAAATCTGAGGTATGTGCTTTATCTTCAGAATAATGCACAAGTTTCTTAGCATGGCTTGGCATTCCCTTTGGGAGCTCCAGGAGCAAGCAGGGCCCTCAATTCTTCCCTCTTCCTTGTCTCCAACCCCTTCCTCAATGTATTCCCAGAGCCTTAGTAAATCACCTGCAATGCCCCCAAAATGCCATGCATCCCTTGACCTCGTCCTTTACGTAAGCCCCAAATCCACTCCTGCCCGATATGCCTGTCCAACCTCTTTCCTCCTTCAGGTTATCCCTTTAGACATCTCTTTTTGTAGCTTGGCTCAATTTCTCAGAGAGCCCTCATATAGATGCCTGTAGTGCCTTCATCCCTGGGAGTGTTTCCTGTCCACGCTTACCCTCTGAGCCCGGAAAAGTGTCCCTCACATCCAGGCACCCGTGAGACACCTGATGAATGCTCATTACTCCAATTAAACCTGATATATCCTGATTAAAAGGAAGCTTCAAATCCAGGCCCTGTGAAACAGTCCATACACGGTGCGTGAGACTTACCTGCTTCCGCATCACATCTGTGGCCTGCATGATGTAGCGAGGAGGCAGCCCGTGGCTTCGGGCCAGGATGATGGCCTGCTCCAGCGTCACGCTCAGGGTGCACCTGTGTGCAAAAGCAAAAGCAAGTCAAATGCCATGGGCTCCCATTAAGCACTTCAAAACAGTTTGGGTTACTAATGAAGAGGAGCAGAATATATTACCCCTAATCTCCCTCCTCAGAGAGTTACTCATTTTTCTTTGGATATCCCCCATGTATTCAAGAGGTATACATGTTAATAAACTTGTTTGTTTTTCTCTTGTTAATCTGTCTTTTACTATAGGGGTCTCAGCTAAGAACTCAGAAGGATAGAGGGAAAATTATTTTTCCTCCCCCACACTAATTTCAAAATCAAAAAACGTTAGCCAAAATGGAAGCAGCCAGACAATGAACCATTGATTTTTCTACATAGAACACCTGTTTTTTGTTTTGTTTGTTTTTAGTAGGCTCCACACCCAGCACGGAGCCCAGTGTGGGGCTTGAACTCATGATCCTGCGATCAAGACCTGAGCTGAGATTAAGAGTCAGATGCTCAACCAACTGAGCCACCCAGGCGTCCCTAGAACATCTGTTTAAAAATAGTTTATAGAACTACATGAGTGGGGTCCTAAAACTCATAATGAACTATGTTTATATACATACAATTAAATAAACAGAATTATAATAAAATCTATTATCAGATATTATTCTTTACTGGTATTTCATGTAATTTAAAAGAAAAGACTTCCTAATATTTTTCATACATGTCTACATGATAGTTAATAGATTTATACTAATTTATGCCCAATAGCTTAGAAAAATAAATAGTGAAATTAATATTCACTATGATCAGAACTGATATTTTAAAAAGTATGTTTCTTGGACCCAATCTAAAAGACTGTAAAAATTTCAAAAGGAGCTTTTAATTAGTTACACAGGAAAGTGATGCCCAGAGCAACCCTGAAAAAATTCAGAATTCAGCCCCTGAATTCAGTGATTGGTGTGCCTTTATCCTTTGCCTTCCCTTTTAAGGCATTTCTTTTACGTCCTTCAACATTTTTCTCTTTGGCAGCTCTTAGAGCCTACTTATTTGTTAACATTTTCAGGTGCTGGTCTCTGAATTGCTTTTTAGGGGTACCTTTTGCAAACATTTCACTAAAATGTTCATTACTTTTAGATGTTTTGTGTAAAATTTGTATGAGCAGACTTTGTTTTACTTTGCTTTTCAATTTATGGGTATTTATTCTGAAAAATTTTTTTTCTATTTTTGCATTTACCTCCCTGTAGTTTGGTAGTTTTTTACACACGTATGTATCTAGGTCTGTTCAGTTTTTCCTTGCAGATGAAAGGTCTACAAGGCAATTGCTTCTATGTGAGGAATATCTAACTCACTTATCCCTGGTTGGGAGGCTGTACTACAGAAGTCCAACATGTCTGCTAGATTTTGATACTGATGAATTAAGAAAAAGAGGAGTAAGGGGCTTTAAACGTTACTGCTGAAATTTTAGAAAGAACCTGACGTGTAATTGTATTATTATGCATCATCGGATTCTAAGGAGAAACCTGTTAAGTTTCATTGGCTGTTCAATGACCTGACAAGCATTAACATGACACAGAACTCTTTACAAAGCATTAGTAATACATAGTCTGATGGGCTGAAGTGTTACAGTTAGCTTTTGGTAGTATGTGATATTTACAAATATTTAGTGTAGGAGTCTGATAACAACAGATACTTGTCGTTTTACATGCTCCTGCATGCCCTAGAAAGCCAAGGAGTACAGTTGACAGTTCACGCTTAAAAAATCAATTTTTCACAAAGCATTTAATTGTCAGCTTCCTTGACAGATCATAACCTTTTTTTCCTCCTTACGGCCTCTACTCCAATTTTAGGTCCTTATTGATTCTAACACTTTAATCAATAACACTCATTACACTAGCTGAATGACACTCAGAAAAAAAATCTTTTTTTCTAATCAAACTGAAATATGTCTGTTCTTCTAGATAAAACATGACTTGCCCTCCTTTGCTTATAACACTTACTTGTTGTGAAGAATTTTTAACAAGCAGCCTATAATTTTTATCCATTTTTAAAATCTTTTTAAATGGATTTATTTCTCCCTACTTCGAGCTGTAATAAACAACAGTACAGTAGCGAATTATCTGCCAGAGACTTTAAAAGATTTTACTGTAATCTCCCGATCAATCAGCCTGGCCAGTACCATGCTCTCTGAGAATGTACCTCAAAGTGTAATTTTTTAAACCAATCACACATGCATCACCTAACAGAAAAATCTACCTTAAAATGGATGTATATGCTTTCTTTCACTACTATTTCCAAAACAGATGGCTTTGTCTACCTATATCTGCCTGACCATACTAACCACTGTGTATGTTCCAATTAGGTCCCAAGATTAATTTGAAATTTTTAAAAAGTGAAACATTTAGGGGTGCCTGGGTGGCTCAGTCAGTTGGGCATCTGCCTTCGGCTCAGGTCATGATCCCAGGACCCTGGCAGGGAGCCTGCTTCTCCCTCTTCCTCTGCCTGACCCTCCACCTCGTTTGTGCTTGCTCTCTCTCACTCCACTTTCTCTCTCTCAAATAAATAAATAAAATCTTAAAAAAAAAAGTGTATTTAAAAAGATATAACAAGGTCAATGTGGGAAATAACTGCCTGTGTTTGATTCATAGTTTACTTGTCCAACAGAGGCCTACCTTTTCCCTCACAGCATCACAGGATCCCATCCTCATGAATTAAGCATGTGGAAGAAAGCTCAGCACTAATACAAAACTTTGCTGTTAATATATCACTATTTGCTTCCTAGCTTCTTCTCTTCTCTCAGCTTATATTAATCAGAATGTCAAGTGGAAATATTTAGCGTTTGCAAGAAGCATTCTGATCCTAGCATTCTCTGAAAGATTCCAGATCCAGAGAGTGGCACATGGTTTTTCAATAGTGCATAAATGGATACTCAGAATCAGGTTTTACAAGAGATCATTTGGTTTTATAGGTACTTTAGTGATTACCAGTGAGACAGCTCTGCTAACTCTGGACAAAAGAATGAAGGAGTATTAGGAAGGCTGGGAATCCTAGGCAAATCTATTCAGTACAAGAGTTCTTATCTGACCCACCAATTTCCTTGTTAGCACTATCTCTGTTTTCGTATTAGACAGTTAAATTAAAATTTAAAGAAATCTATATTTTGCCCCATCCTGGAAAATATGGGCCTTGGTTTTTAGCTCCTTCTAGCTGCAGTGTCATTTTTAAAATTTAGACAACTCTTCCCCTGGGAGTCACAAAATAAAAAAATAAAGGTCACAGGGTAGACTTTGTCCTTCATAAAAAGGCATAACCGTGTATATAACATATACACTGAAGAAAGTTTTTCCATAATTCGAGTAGTAAGACATTCCAAGTAATAGCTCTGCTTAGGGCATACTCCTGAGAAAATGTACTTGACAGGGCTATAAAATTATGCAGAAATTGTGAATTTACCCACAGAAAGAAAAAGGAAAGGGCCAATGTATCTGTGCTTATGATGAATAAATCTTCTTGACATATTTTGTATTAAGAATAGATCCCATATCACATCAGAGATTTAGCAGTTTTAATATGATAAATGTAACCTGTGGTTAATGGGTCCAATTTAATTTGAAAGGCACTTTGATTTAACATTGCTATGGAAGAGTCACAAAGAAGTAACTTTTATTCATTCATTCACTCACTCAACAAATATTTTTTGAGTGTCTACTTTGTACCTACAAGTCCCATTAGATGCTGTAAGAAGTGGATTTGCTATCAAGCTAGAAAAGGTTGATAGCCAGCGTCCCTCACTTGTATGGATCCCTAGCAAATTGTTCACATAGCCACATGCTTTTATAAATTTGCGAAAGCAAAATGTTTTAACTGCAAATAATTATGACTGCTGTCTTGACCATGTCTATCCCAACTTCCCTCTGTCGTGTTCTGGAGTGCTCAAATGGCCATGATTATTTCTGAAACTGAGCTAAAGGACGTAGAATTATGGTGCACTTAGGCTAGGTTGACTGGAACCTATGTATATGATTTACAGTCACTTCCATTTATAGTTAGGTTATTTTTATGATTTTTTTTTTTAAGATTTTATTTATTTGAGAGAGAGAGAGAATGAGAGAGAGCACATGAGAGGGAAGAGGGTCAGAGGGAGAAGCAGACCCCCCGCTGAGCAGGGAGCCCGATGTGGGACTCGATCCCGGGACTACAGGATCATGACCTGAGCCGAAGGCAGTTGCTTAACCAACCGAGCCACCCAGGCACCCTATAGTTAGGTTATTTTTAATGTCTCCCGGTGTAGAAATGGACTCCAGAGTATTTGTACTGCCCACTGTGCAAACTCACTCACCTAATATTGAAAAGGAGGGGTGCAGGGCCCAAGGTTGTAATGCAGTGTTCATATCCTGAGGCACCCAGGACTGTATGTGGTGGAGGAAAAACCAGCCTAGAAATGTATAGCGCCAGAAGCTAGTCTGTGCAATATTCTTTCAAACATTATGGTTCATATGCTACAGAATCTTATAGGGGTTCTCATATTTGACAACAATTTAAAAATTTATAAGAGATTTAGCAATAATGTTGAAATTAAAAGGCTTTTCTAATCAATAATTTTTCTTTAAAAATTTGATCAGCCATGCTAGAGACAAAAACAGAATTATTGTCCTATTCTCTTTATAGAAGATTATATCACAAAATTATTATAATTTGAAGAGGCAATCAAAGAGTATGTTACCAAAAACTGTGGAGGAAAAAAGTATAGAGGTGGGTCAGGCAATAAAGTAATAAACACAGTCTTTTGTCTTTCAGATTTTATAATGCTTGTGGTACTTGCTAGCATTTTAAACTTTGTAATATTTTTTGCATTCCAAATAAATAAATATTAAGTTTCATTTCTATTTTTTTTTGGTAATTTTTCTATTCTTTTTCTTGAAAAGGGCACTTAACTTCAGATCCCCAAGTCTTTATCCACTCCAGTGTGCTGGGGATACAACAGCAAACAGAAAAAAAATCCCATCCCTTCTGGAGATCAAATTTCAGGGGGAGGAAAAAGAAATAA